GATTTGCGATACCGCACCGAAGTCACGATCTGAATCAAATGATTCATGATACCGCACCGAAGTCACGATCTGAATCAAATTATTTTGTGATACGCGTTCCAAACTCCAGGTTTAAAATGTTTCGCAAACCCGCACAAAAGGATTTGTGAAATGTTTTTTCACTAACCTGCTCCAAAGTTCTGATCTAAATGAAAAGATTCACGAACCCGCTCTGAAATTCTGATCTAAAACAAATTATTCGCGATTTGCGCTCCGATGTCCCAATCTGAGTCAAATGACTCGAAGCTCCAATCTTAAATCAAATGATTCGTGAACCCGCTCCAAAGTCCCACTCTGGAACAAATGATTTGCAATGCATGACTACTGCTTGAAGCATCTTGGAGACGCTGCAACAGTTCCTCTGGATTGAGTCTGTCTCAGTTTGTTCTGTTTCTTCATGTCATTCCAGACAGACTGATGATGATCAGATCAAAATCTCACTGGATTATTACAATTAGTCGCAAAATGAATGTTTGGAAATATAAACTGATATTTCCTACTGACACACTACAGCAAAAAATTGAAATAACTGACTTAAAACCATTTTTAGCCGGTGAAAATACTAGTGTTCTAATAATTCTGGCCACCACTGTATATTACACTCACCATAATTTTTGGATGGCATTTTCTTGAAGATTTCAATAACATCGGCCTGGTATCCAATATTCACCTTCAACCGCCAGCGAGACACTAAAACACACTTCCCCTTTACTGTGGCACCTGGTTTCTGCCAACCCTGACAGAGCCTCATCAGAGCTGCCAGGGCTGCTGCATCTTTGGGTCGACTGGTGGACGCTGAAATATTCAACCCTTCCATCCCATCCAGAGGTTTGAGAGAGACGGAGGGGAGACTTGCTGCCTGCTCCACTGAAACACAAGCAAACTCCATTACATCCTGTGCTATAGGAAACAGTTTTATTTTTGCATACGATCACTGCTTAAGTATGTTAAGTAACGTTCATGGCGACATACTCAGCATCTGGTAGTCCTCAAGGCTGAAGGTCCACATCCTTGTAGCGGGATCTGTGATAAACAACAAATGCATAAATATTATAGGCCAGCAGCTGTTTTCCTTTAAAGCAATAGTTCACCCAAAAATGAAAATGTGCTAAAAATGAACTCACCCTCAGGCCATCCAAGATGTAGAGGAGTTTGTTTCTTCATCAGATTTGGAGAAATGTAGCATTACATCACTTGTTCACCAATGGATCCTTTGCAGTGAATGGGTGCCGTCAGAATTTGTTTCTTACACGATTCGTTTCTTACTTAACTATTTTTAAAAGTTAATATTTGTATAAACAAAGGTGCATTAGACTGTTCTCGGCAAACATACAATAAAAAGTTGATAGATAGATAGATAGATAGATAGATAGATAGATAACATACAAAACGATTCCTTAGGTAACATACAAAAATAACAAACAATTGTTTTCGTCCAATATATATTAGCACAATAATTACAAATGACTTTTAAGTACTTTTCAGCAATAGATTTAATTAATTATGTGATGCTTTGTGGCATTGTTTTTCTCTCACTTTAAAACATTCCATTCTGTGTCATAAAATTATACAATTTGAATATAAAAGATGAATATAATTTATAATTTGTCTATTTATTTGTTGGGGACCACACACACACACACAAATAAAAAAAGAGATGCTTTGCACCAAATTTAGCTACTTAGAGAGGTAGATGAAGATAGATTTTTAATATGAACTTAGTTGGTAAATGACACCCTTGAGTGAGTCTCTAAACACACAAAACACTATTATACAGTACAATTCAATTTAATAATAGCAATTATGTGCACACATTTTAAATTAACACTTTTTTCAAATTAAATATTTACTTACAACTACAAAATTGTAATATTTGAAAATAGATAAAGTGCATTTTCATGAAAGTTTTTATTGATTTATTGATACCGATATTCAAATTTTTCTACCTGTAATTGATTTTTATTATTAGAGACTCTCTCAAGGATAGCATATGTTAGTAAAGTTTAGGCCTGTATTAAAAATCAATTACAGGTAGAAAAATGTGGATATCGTTATCAATAAATAAATAAAAATATACTACATGGCTGATTTATGTCAGTCACTAATTAACTGACTACAATCACAAATGCATTATTAGTATGAAAAATACATGAAAATGTGCTTGATCTATTTTCAAATATTAAAATGTTGTAGTTTTAAGTATATATTTTATTTAAAAAAAAAGTGTTAATTTAAAATTTGTGCACATAATTGCTATTATTAAATTGCATTGTGTTTTGGGGTCTTTAGAGACTTGCTCAAGGGTATCATTTGCTAATTTGCATAATGAACGTGAAACAATTTCATGCAACTTTAGCACCTTTATTTCTATCCTGTTCATTTTCTTGTCCCTGCAAATTATTAAAGTTACACAGTTCACACCAGACTGATGGGCAACTTCAAGCCCAGAGTCGTCCCCCCTCACTCTCTCTCTCTCTCTCTCTCTCCTTCTCTCTCTCTCTCCCTCCCCCTCTCTCTCTCGCTGTCCCAGGAGTCACGGTGCTGAACCCGCCGCATCAGCCACACCGAGCCACCGTCCAGCGGAACCAGAACTCGGATTACACATCCCCGATGAACTGTCCCGAGGAATCGTGCGAACACGACGCGAAAAACTACCGCAGAATAACATTTGCTCACGACGCGACCGAAGACATGCGCGGACACCTGGACGCGGACCTGAATGATTTCACGCCACTGAGGGATGCTTTAACACATGTTGCATGCGACTTACTTTGCAGGAGGACATCTAGATCCCATGCAAACCCAATGGAATGAATCGATCTTATGGCTTCTGACACCTGTTTACTGCCTTTTCATAATTTTTTTTACTTAATTCAGAATGCAATATAGACGTGCACTTATTTCACAAAAGCATCTTTGTTTCTCCATTTAACTTACAAACGATTTGAAGTCAAGTCACCTTTCTTTACACAGCGCGTTATACAAGACTGAGCGACAGCGGCAAGGACCCAAAACTCCACTGGTGACAGAACGGAGAAAAAACCTTCAAGCTAAATTCCAAAAGTGCAATGAACTTAATGCAGGTCGCGACTTTAATGCATCACTTAAGTTGCAATTGTAGAGGGTTGCGGAATACAATGGCTTTCACGCATTCGCTCTTCACAGCCTAAAAACTAACAGGGAGTCCATAAACCTGCGCTAACTGATCCAGGACAGTGTCGATTCTCCCCGTTCATGGATGAAGCATGCTGAAGAGCCGCTGTTGCGTTCTCTTCAGTGACCTCAAGGTGTTTCTGCTCGGGCCACAGGCTCCTACAAACCCCATGAGCGGACAAACGGCCAGAATCAGCCAGTTTGCCTCGGATAACAACAACACGTTACGAGCCCACCGGCTCCGGCACTGGAGTACCCCGTCCACAGAGGACGCTGAGGCGGCTGCGGACGGATCCTGGACCGGCGCCACGGAGGAAGAGTTCCCCAGGGACCGGAGGGATGACAGATTCTCCTTCATCAGCTATGCAGAAGGAACCCCGGTGTGCAGGATATGCTTCCAGGGGCCGGAACAGGTAGAATCCAACCCTACAGTTCAATAAAGTAAAGAAATGCACATGATAAATGTGAGCCTGCAGCACAAAAGCAGTGTTAAGTCGCTGGGGTATGTTTGTAGCAATAGCCAACAATACATTGTATGGGTCAAAATTATAGATTTTTCTTTGATGCCAAAAATCATTAGGATATTAAGTAAAGATCATGTTCCATGAAGATATTTTGTACATTTCCTACTGTAAACATATATAAAACTTATTTTTTTTAATTGCTAAGAACTTCATTTGGACAACTTTAAAGATGATTTTCTCAATATTTAGATTTTTTTGCACCCTCAGATTCCAGATTTTCATATATATTATTGTATGTATATATGAATATTGTCCTATCCTAACAAACCATATATCAATGGAAAGCTTATTTATTCAGCTTTCAGATGATGTCTGAATCTCAATTTTGAAAAATTGACCCTTATGACTGGTTTTGTGCTCCAGGGTTAAATTTATGTGTGAGACTTCCGGTGTCATTTGCTCCCAGTTATTTTACATGTACAAAAACAGTCTGTTGTGTTACTTGATATAGCAAACTTTTATTTCTTATCATATTATTTTCATTTATTACCCTGTCCATAAACAAACCAGTTTGTAGTGTAAATAGGCCTAGCTTTACCTTTGTTATTCTTTATAACGACTAATGAACCGGAAGTCTCGCACATTCACAGAAAAATTGGGAATTTTGTTTTTTTATAGCAAGTTTACATTTTTGCGGAAAATTATTAACTTCAGAAAAGCTGAAAAGCTATATACTTTTTATAAGGTGTAGCCTAAATAAAGATTATTGGTGTTCCTTTTACAAAAATAGGCTCCTATTAAAGTCTTTCCACTTAAAAAAAAACTCGTTTAATTTAATGTGATACTTGGCATTTCTTTGTAAATATTTGTCAAATTTACTAGCAATTTCAGCGTGAACATTTTTAAATAAATCCTAAAGTAAATCCTACATCAGTTTTTTTCAGTATTCACTTTTTATAAGGTGTAGCCTAAATAAAGATTATTGGTGTTCCTTTTACAAAAATAGGCTCCTATTAAAGTCTTTCCACTTAAAAAAAACTCATGTTTAATTTAATGTGATACTTGGCATTTCTTTGTAAATATTTGTCAAATTTACTAGCAATTTCAGCGTGAACATTTTAAAATAAATCCTAAAGTAAATCCTACATCAGTTTTTTTCAGTATTCAGTGTGTGTGTGTGTGTGGTCAGCATAACCTAAAGACACTTTAATGTTTTTATTTAGGTACAACTTAAATTACACAGTCAAACAAAAAGAAACGAATGGCCTTACTGTCTTTAATTTATAACAGACCAAAATATGAACTTGAAAAAAAAAGTGCATCTGAATAAGGGTCAGCTCAGTTACAGCGGACACTCAATGATTAGAAAACAGTGTAAGAGTTATCAGGACTGTAAACACACACACACACACATCTATATTAATTACCAACAACAACTAATTAAAGTCCATATACATAGCCATTCCTTGCCTGCACCTAGTTAATTAAATATTCATGAGCTAGAGCCAATGGCCACTCCCCCAAGCACAATGCACAGATGTGCAGACAGCACTTCAGATGACACTTCTCAGTTTTTATGGTGTACTCTAGTTGTTTCATATAAGGTAATGTATGTTAAAAGCACATTATTATTTTGTAAAATTAAAAAAACATTTAAAATTAATCAGTGCAATTTACAGAAAAATTCAAAACGTTCAAGATAACGAAGCTCTCAGTTGGTCGAATGATCAAACTTTAATGCCAGTGAAAGTTTTAGACAGGATTCTCATGTCTAAATGATTTATTATATTTATTTTTAATTAAATAATTAATTTTTTCCAATTTAATTTCTATGACTTGCCCGGTTGTAATTTTACAGAGACTGCATTTCCAAAGAGAACGTTTTATCCGTGCATAACTAGAAAAGCTCTTATTCATAGTCTCCAGAAATGTTTATGAATTGTATTCATTTCCATGAGTCCTGTTCGAATTAACCTTATGATTTTAAGGTCACGGCCCTGCAAATGGCAATGGAGTATTTACTTTTCTTAATGCGCCTTGTTTTAATAGGAAAACTGTAGCTCAGAGCAGGCCTCATAAATTATTCATGATGAGATGCAAATGGTTTCCACTTCAAAAACCTTTCACCCAAAGGGAAGGTGATTCACCAGAATTTACAACCGAACGACATTTATTTCACTGATACATTTGAGTTACAAACCGTGCTAAATAACTCCCATGTTACCTGAGATGATCCTCACCTGCACTGAAAGAAGGAAACCTGAGGCGAGTCGACAGAGAGGGATCGACTTTCCTCCTCAGAGGGCTCTAAGCAAAGAGCAAACACCTTTAAACACTAGCTACAGAGTAGATCGGTGCTAGTTGTCACACAACTATAAGATGCATTGTAAAAAAAGTTGTAAATAAAGTATGTTTTACAAGAAAAGAGAATTTCAGATTTTTTACTTGGTATTTCTTGAGTGAAAATTGTTTCAAAGTAAATACACCAATTTTATTAATGTAGAGGATAGCTTTTATATTTCATAAATAATTGATTTGACAAAACAATTTTCACTAACAAATTGCTTTTAAATTTAACACAAATAATTACAAAGAAACAGAAAGTAATGCAAAACATTTAACGTTTTTAAGTAGAAACACTGAAATAGTACTTTCTTGTTAAACATACTCCAATTATTTCTTTTATTTACAACTTCGAAAAATCATTTCATAGTGTACACTGAAAAAAGAAAACTTGATGTGGAAAGTTTTCACTCAGAAATTGCTAGTAAATGTCACAAATATTGACAAAGAAATACAAGTAACACATTCAATTAAACACATTTTAAGGAAGAAAAACTAAAACTGTATTTTCATGCAAAACGTACTCCAATACATTTTATTTACAACTTTGAAAAATATTTTTTTAAAGTGTACCTCTTACATTTTTGCTTAAAATTAGCTTTCTAAAGCTCAAAATAAGCTTTCTAATGTCACATTTCCACTGTAATGGGGCATGTTGTCACAGTTAGAGAGCTTATTTGAAGTGTTTCACAAAAGGTCAAAGCGTGTCTTTTTCCTTGACAATAACGTCAGAAATGCTCAGCATCTGTGTTTACTGCGTTTATGAATCAGAGAAAGCTCCTCCGAGGCGTTTAGTGTTTTTATTAACCGCATGCAATTATAAGATTGCTGCCCCAAAGCGAGCAGCGTGATGTCTTTGAGAAGCTCTGCTGTAAGTGTAAAGAGCAGAAATGTGAACGCAGGCGAACCCGAGGGACTGATTTCAGACGATTGTTCCAAATAGACAGTGATCTGATCTTCTCTCTTGTGCTTTTTGTGTGCAGAGATGAAGCAGAACTGATGTCTTACAGATACTACATGATGGAAAGACGTGTCTAGATGAAGGGCAGAGCTTTGATTTTCTGTCTTTTGCTGCTGTCTTATTGATTCATGCCTGTTTTCTGCTGATTCAGCAGGCTGTAGTTCAATGGCGCTATGAAAACATCCTGTTTAAATGTGTAACACTGAGTAATAGCACTCGGTAATGTCTTTGACTGGTGTTTTGGTTCAAAATGTAATGACTGTTCTTGAAGTATCAGGTCACATTGCATTAACCAGACATCTTTGTCTTCCCAAATGCATCTCGACTAGATCTGGAAAGCACAAGAAATTACTTCTGCTTCAATGCAAGTTCAGCTCTAAAGCATTTACAGATTGCTTCAAAAGACTGTGGGTGTTCAATTTGAGATAGTGTAGAATTAGTACCTTGTCTGTGTAAACCTTTCCCTCAAACCTCAATGTCACGATCACAAAATGCTGGTAAACTGCAAAAAATGATTTTCTTTCTTCCTTTTTTTTGTCATTTTCCAGTACAAATGGCAAAACATTTACTTGAGAAGCTAAATGAGTTAAACAAATTTAAAGGAATTAAATTAAATTACTGAATTAAATAACTGAAAATGTACTTGTCAAGGCATTCAAGATTAGGATGAGTTTGTTTCTTCATCAGATTTGGAGAAATGTAGCATTGCATCAGTGTCAACACACACACATCTATATTAATTACCAACAACAACTAATTAAAGTCCATATACATAGCCATTCCTTGCCTGCACCTAGTTAATTAAATATTCATGAGCTAGAGCCAATGGCCACTCCCCCAAGCACAATGCACAGATGTGCAGACAGCACTTCAGATGACACTTCTCAGTTTTTATGGTGTACTCTAGTTGTTTCATATAAGGTAATGTATGTTAAAAGCACATTATTATTTTGTAAAATTAAAAAAACATTTAAAATTAATCAGTGCAATTTACAGAAAAATTCAAAACGTTCAAGATAACGAAGCTCTCAGTTGGTCGAATGATCAAACTTTAATGCCAGTGAAAGTTTTAGACAGGATTCTCATGTCTAAATGATTTATTATATTTATTTTTAATTAAATAATTAATTTTTTCCAATTTAATTTCTATGACTTGCCCGGTTGTAATTTTACAGAGACTGCATTTCCAAAGAGAACGTTTTATCCGTGCATAACTAGAAAAGCTCTTATTCATAGTCTCCAGAAATGTTTATGAATTGTATTCATTTCCATGAGTCCTGTTCGAATTAACCTTATGATTTTAAGGTCACGGCCCTGCAAATGGCAATGGAGTATTTACTTTTCTTAATGCGCCTTGTTTTAATAGGAAAACTGTAGCTCAGAGCAGGCCTCATAAATTATTCATGATGAGATGCAAATGGTTTCCACTTCAAAAACCTTTCACCCAAAGGGAAGGTGATTCACCAGAATTTACAACCGAACGACATTTATTTCACTGATACATTTGAGTTACAAACCGTGCTAAATAACTCCCATGTTACCTGAGATGATCCTCACCTGCACTGAAAGAAGGAAACCTGAGGCGAGTCGACAGAGAGGGATCGACTTTCCTCCTCAGAGGGCTCTAAGCAAAGAGCAAACACCT